GGAGAAATGGATTCCGGAGCTGGAGAGGACTTGACGTAGGCTGTTGACTGAACATTTTTAAATGGGTGGAATCGGTGTATTAGCAGCGGAAGAATGGAGAGAAGATGGACGAGGCTCAGTTAAAACTGGCGATCTTGAAGATAGAGGAGAGCGTTGCCTTTTGGAACGTGGTTTATATGAGCGCTGGATTTCTCGATCAGAACGCTCATGAAGATGATCCGTAAGATTCGATCTCACGCGGGGTGTGACTGGCTGTGTCCCAGGAAGGCTTGACAGTTCGTCGTCTGAAGGAAAGAGCTGGATTTCCGTGATGTCGGACATTATTCCTTGCGGCAGTAATGCATACTGGAACAGCTGATACTAGGGAGAGGTAAGCGGCTGCTTATATACTCTGTTTGTTGATTGAAAGATTGGATGGGCTCGCTCCTCCCTAACTTACGTTTAGGAACTTCATTTAAACTACAGAAATGATGTCTGACTATCTGTGAGATTTTAAAAAGGTGTCGTTACCTACAACAGTAGCTTAAACACTGCCAAATAGCATTTTTTCCTGATTAAGTGACGTCATCCGAAAAGGAAAATGCAAGGCAAGTATTACATAACTGTCTGAAATACTTGATTCTGATTGGTCATTTGCAGTATTCAGCAGTCAGTGTTTCCTAACATGGCTGTCAGTGGTAACACACATCCAGGAAACTGAAACCACTTTCATGTCTCTCATATCACACCTGAACTTGCACTCTCTTTCCCCCATAAAGACTCAGCTGTCACCATCTTGTTAGTGACTGTATTCAAAATGACCTTTGAGGACTTCACTGTTACTGCCTTGCAGCAAGGCTGATTCTTTTGGACTTTTTTTTTCTTAGCAGAAGCTTTAAAATAATTTACAGAAATAATAAAAAGTAATTTCAACTCAAATCTATGTTTAGTGCAAACATATTTATTTATTTGGTAAGTAGCCAACTAATAAGAGGGATCAATTTGACAGTGACGGGACATCACCCAGTTTATTTAGTAAAAATGACCCGTTTACAGTTTACATTGAGGTTATAAAGAAATGATTTCTATGGAATAACATGTATTGGTGGATTGTGCATATGGGATGTGAGTGATTAATAATATTATTTGCTGGTAGACTTTAGCTGCAAACAAAAAGGCTGAAAGTTTAATATCAGAGTTATGAGGACTGAGCAAACAACAGGACTGCCATCCCAATTCTGCTGTGCCACCCTTGAGCTCTTTGTGCAGGAGAGCTGAACTACATGCAGGGGGTTTCCCCATACCCCCAATGTCTTTAAAAGACCCATCACTATTGACATTGCTTTCAAACCTCACTTGTAGTTTTGTTAGCAACCAGAAGGTGGCGCACAGGTCATGTTTAGGAGCACGTTACACATAATCTCAGCACTGCAATCTCTTTCTTCAGTTCCGTCAGAAAGCACATCTGTGAAAGTGTGAGCTTTAGCTTTTGAATTTAATCATTGATTTTAATGCTTAAATCTAGTCCCAGATCAAAATGCATGTTTGAGCTGTTTTAACTGAAAGCAACATGCAGTGACGTATCTTAAAATATGCCAGTGCCCATTGATTTGTCTCAAGATGCACACCTGGCTTAATCTAAAAGCCGTCTGTGAAACCAGGTACTATCGATAACCCTCGATAGTCTGTGCATACAGGGCTCAGAGTACAGGTCAGATTTCTACTTACCAAGTTGCCAGTATTTTCACAAGAAAAAGGAGATTGCCGTCTTTGTGGGAAATTTTGTCCCCGTAATGTAGGGTATACCTTGACCACACACACACACACACACACACACACACACACACACACACACACACACACACACACATATTGTGTACGTACAGCAACAATCTCTGTTACCTTAAATTATATGTTTATCTCTGTAAAGCTGCTTTGAAACAATCCATTGTTAAAAGCGCTATATAAATGAAGATGACTTGACTTGACACACACACACAGAGCAGAATTGAGCAAACAACAGTTAATGTGTCACAGAAATCCAAATCATGTACATGATCAGTGAACTTAAAATGAAACACAGCAGAGAAAGTATAACCTTCATCCTTCCCTCGCACCTAAAATTATACTTAATTATTTTTTTCCAGAAAGATTTTATTTATTTAATTTTGATCAGATTTTTTTCATTTTTTTAATGCATTTTTTTGGGAGATTTTTTTCTTTTATTTACCTTTTAATTATTAGATATGACCAATAAATAATAAATGAATAGTAATTTAAGCACATTCCTCACATTCGTTCAACTTAAATTCAAAATAACTTACAATTGCAAGCACAACCCTTTTAATTCAGCTCAAAATATCTTACGGTGTCTTTGCCGACCCTTTGTGGGAAAAAATAATAATATAACATGATATTTCATGACTCTTGCCACTAGAATAACTCTATATGGAGCAAACGAGCTGTTCCGCTGGGTCCTAAAGTCAGTTTCTCTTCAGGGTGCATTCAGATACACACATAAAATATATATTTTTTGCCAAAGTTTTAGCCTTTTTTTGTTTGAATTTTGAGAATTTTTTGGTTTTTCTATGTGTACTGAAGCATTCCTCACATTCCATTCATTCCTAAGGGGGTCAAATTGATCCGCAAGGGATGGACTTGTTACTTTTTTCAATTTCAACCACAAAACTCGTCGAATCCATTAAAAAAATGTTTTTATATATTTGTGGTATACAAATATTTTGTGGTATACAAAATCATTTTATATAAATGATTTGAAATGAAAGGATTCACAAATAATTATACATTTTGGAATAAAAAAAAATAAAAGAAATAGAGGAAAGGAAATGTAAAGGAGCGATGGTAAGAATTAGAGCAAAGTATATAGTAGGGGAAAAGTGTACACACTGACTCTAGGCCATCCAAATAGTTGAGCTCTAGTATATAACCATGCGGATACAAACTGTTCAGATTAATTGCAAAGCCAAATTACAAAAAGTGTAACCTATTTTTAAGGACATGATTGTCATCGTGATTTGAGGCAGATCTGGTCTAACCTGTTTGACAAGTTTAGTGAGGCAGTTTAATCAGTGCTTGAAGTTCCCTCTCATATGAACCTGACCAACACACACTAGCTCTCTCTGCCCAAAGTCTCCTCATCTCCACAGGATTTTTTCATCCCCCCCTTCTCATTCTTTTAAGAACATGTTTGATACTTTCTGCCTCCTTTATCTCCCCGTCTCTGTCTGTGTATTTGTGTGAGAGAGAGAGAGAGAGAGAGAGAGAGAGAGAGAGAGAGAGAGAGAGAGAGAGAGAGAGAGAGAGAGAGAGAGAGAGAGAGAGAGAGAGAGAGAGAGAGAGAGAGAGAGAGAGAGAGAAAGAGCTTGATTCCTTGGTTTCTTTTGAAAAGCAAGGACACAATGGGGTCTTTCTCAGATGGGTTCTGTCTCCATTAAAGACCCTGGGAACACTGCACGGACCCCTCAACCTCCTCTTAAAGGGCCAGACAACTCTCCATCCAAAGCAACCTGAGAGCGCAACAACAATCCCATGCGTTTTCATGGGAAAAAGTAGGAATCAATAATTCATGAAGGGTGCGTGAATCCCACCTATTTTACACTCTCCCTGCGTTCACCCACCCATATTTATCATGTTTCCCGAGCCCTGTATGAGCATGCTGTAGGCTACTCTCTCACCCGCAGACATAACCATGAGAGCGACATAACAAACGACAAAACAAGAGATTATACACACAGAGCCACAGTAGTGTATTTACTTTTATACTCGATGTGACTGAAGTTGAAATATCTTTCACTTGAGCAAAGATGCTCACATGGATTTGTTTGCGAAGCCATTTTGTGCTTGAGGTTAAAGAATTCATTGTTTCCACAGATTAATATAATTTAACATGACTCACCTTCAAAACATTGATGTGCCTTAGTAATTCAGTTTCAAAAATGTGCCAATAATTGTAAAACAGTTTAGGCTACAATGAAATGAAATACAATACGTTACGATAAAACATCATATTCTAAAAGTGATTCATGAATTTTTGGAATATTTTCTCTAAATAGATTGAACAGGTTTTACACAAATATACACAACCAGTTACAAGTTTAGATGACGTATTATTAGTCAAGTCAAGTGTCAACTCACCTTTATTTATACAGCGCTTTTTTACAATACTGACTGTTTCAAAGCAGATTTACAGTGATAACAGGAAAATAATGCAACAGAGTTTGTTTCGGGTGTACAGCAGATCTAGATCAGTAGATCAGATTACTGTCCAACACATTTTTTGAGTAATATTAAAATCATTAAAACTATAAAATAACACATGTGGGATGTATAGTGATCATTTGCCTAGATTTCGTCATGAGGAGTGTGGACTTTCTTTTAGCCAAACTTTAACTTTAGTCACTACATAAAACAACTCTTAGACAGTCTCAGTAAGATTTAAAGTAAGCATGTTCTATCTATATTTAGTGTGTCCGTAGGTTTAGTCGAGTCTAGGTGAAGGGGGTTGTTGTGTATTGGAGCACTGAGAGGGAGGGCGAGATGGAGGAGGAGGGGAGGAGAAAGACAGAATGGACAAAAGTTGAGTGGAGGAATGTGAGTTTGTCTGAAGGGGAATAAAGGCGTCCTGATGGGAGAGAGTTTTGGAGGCAAAGGGAAATTCTGACAAAAAATACGCGTCGTGTTTCCAAAAATAACAACTCTGACTGGCTGGAAAACTCTGGAGCGCTGTTTTGGTTTTGGCTTCACGCGCTTCAATAGCTTACTTCACGTTCAGGATTACTAAACACTTTTTGAGCTTAAAAAAAAAAGATAAAAAAGAAAGTTTACGCTGCTTTTGGAAACAGATTTTGATTACAATTCTGGGGACGACCTGACAGCTTCTATTTTGATCTTGAGGATTCGAGTTTTCCTCTGTTTTTCCTTCTGAAGCTTTTTGAAGTTGACTAAGGAATCTGCCAGAATCGCTCATCTGTGGGAAGTAGAAGCACTGGAGCGATGCGATGATGATGATGAAGATGATGATGATGCGTTCTGAGTCCAGCGTCACTGAGTCCCACACGACACCGACACCGAACCCGAAACCAGACAAAAGAATGACCGGGTCGAAGCTTTTCACTGTGTTACTCTTGCTAGCGTTGCGCGTCGGGTCCGCGGAGCATGTGTCAGGTACGAGATTTGTGGATTCAAAACTTTTTCAAGTCAATGCATTAACGTTTCAAAGGTTTCCTTAGCTTCACCATGATTGAATATTAGTATTATCGTTAAACAGTGGACTGAAAAATTATTCGGACACTATATTTAAACATGTTTGATTGTCATTGCATTAGAAGACAAGTGTTAAAAAAAGTATTGTGAGGCTTTTTATTTTAACATGTTCGTAAATGTATGTCTACATCTGTGGTTACTCTGCAGTGTGAACTTGAGGGGAACTTTTTATTGTGCCTAAAAATGGCCAAAAGAAAATTAAAATAATTGCAATTCAGACAAATTAATACAGTTCTAAGAAAAGATAGTGTGACTAAAGTGTCCAAAATCTTTTTGGTGCCCATACAGCATCTTTTAGATCTCATACATCATCAGTGCATGTCATTGATGACAGAAACAAATAAACAGTGAAAGATGCTTGACATCATGTAGTTCACTCTGAACTCATTTATGTACTTTGCTCTATTTATGTCACACCGGTTTTGCTCAGTGGCTAGTTTTAGAAGTTTGTGTGATATTATTATTATTTAAATTTTCAAAACAATGGGTCTGTTTTCATCTGACAGGGCCTGAGGTATATCTTGAGACAAGAATCTCCTATAGACTTGAGTGTGGGCTCTTTTGAGTTAGTAAGGTTCGTAAGAAACCACCCCCTAACAACACCCTAACAACAACATTGCGTGACCTTAGCAACTAGCCATCCTAGCAACAACACTGCATCACGTGTGATTTTTGCACAACCAAGCATCATTTACATTTTCCTCAGGATCTGTAAAAGTTGTTTGTAACACTGTCTTACACAAGATAATGGGTTTGAGTGTTTACCAGATACAAACTCAAAGTTGTTTAAAGTTGTCTATGAGTGGCCCTTATGTGTGCTGTCAAATAGAGCGAAGAATCTGAGTCTGGCAGATCGGACACTTATCAAACTCTCCCATCAAATCTCCCAGACTGTGAAGACGGGCAGCCTAAACATGCAGCGTGGATAATGTGGGGAAGTGGGGACCGGTGAGGGATTTCAGAAAGAATGTGACTCGGGGGCCATGCTGAATCAGACAGGGGAAATGATGGATTGGGTTTAGGGCAAAGGGATGGATGAGGGGATGAATTGAATGAAGAATGGAATAAAAAGCCACAGGAGGAGACAAGTGAAAACATAAAGGAGGAAAGAAAAAGTGATTTGTGTTAGACTGGGCCGATAATGGAGAGGGCAGTAGTTGTCTTTGACAGGTTTTTGCTGATGAGAGAAACACCATAACATTTTACAACACTGAACAATATAGCGTTATGGAGGAAGTGCTATAATGAAAAATGCAAGTCAAAAGGAAATCTTCCTTATTGCATTCAATTTGTCAACTTTTAGTTGCCAACATATAACATAGTTGGCCTCAAACCTAACAGACATGTCATGGACTAAAATATACAATTTTGACAAACTCAACTGATTATTGTAATTTATTGCAAAACTGTCATATAGAGGCCACTTTTCACAATACAATCAGTTCTCTTTGGAAACTGTCTTCTTATTGAATAGACAAGAATACAGAAGTTTCTTCTTGATGAATACACAGTTTCTTTAGAAAAATATGCAACATCACGAAAGTAAAAAGGATGTCTTTAAACATTCATATTTAAAAGGAAGCTGCATGCACACTAAGAGAGTTGAGGTTAGAGTCGACTGCCCACTTTCAGGCCATCATAAAAGGAGAGATGTTAAAAAGAACTAGTGAAGCTAAAAGCCGCTATAGCAATATACATACAAACTAGCTATGACAGGGGGGTTTAGTGGGCCTCATTTTAAACATCAACTTGGGACTCGCATCTCTGAGTGAGTGTGTGTGTGTGTGTGTGTTCTCCTAAACCTTCGCTGAAAGATGGAACATGTTGTTCAGCCCATTCATATTTGAACAGACTCCAGATGCATTGGAAGGAATGTTAAACTAAAGAAAATAAAATCCTTTAACTTAAATTTGTAAGTTTTGTGTTTCTGTTGAGTGTGCCGAAGTTTCCCAAAGTCAGTCCTTTTTCTTGTTGTTGAGAAAGCAGGCCCACATAGAAGAGGGATGGTCGTGTTGGTGTTTTGGATGCCATATCACACTGGGTGAAATAATTGTCATAGGGTCAAAGGTTAAGGGTCAGGGCAGTGTCTGTCTGACAGCTTTGAAAAAAGTTATTAACACTTTCCCCGCCATTGATTGACAGAAATTTCAGTCATTTATGGAGTAGTATGAAGCTGCAGACTCGGAGACCTGCATCTACAGTCCCCCTGCACCCAGAGTCCCGCATTCTCAGACCCCTCGTTTTTCGAGACAGCGCCTCCTATCAAATTGTATCGGATAAACATGTGAAGAACTTAAGCCAAAACGTGAGTAGGCTATCTTCAATTTTATTTAGCGAATCGTAGTAGCCTACTCGTTTGATTTATTTTTTAATAAAACTAAATTAGCTCATCGATACAACATATGAATAGTCCATTTAATGTTTGTAAAGATAGTTTGTAACAAGATTTGAGCCGTTAATGTATGTTTTTTCGCCCTCTTCCCCCCGAAAATATTTTGATAGCTAACGTTAGCCTTTAACCTTGGACTTTTTGTAGATATGTCATAAATGCTGCAGTGATTTTCACTGCCCATTTTGTGCCCGCATATTTCAAACCCACAAAGTTGTCCAAAGTTCAAAAACATCTCAAGGGACACTTCAACAGAGCAGTGCAACATGAAGGTAACATTTGCAAACATCTTTTTTCTTTTTTTTTCTTTCTTTTTGAAACATCATAAGACATGTGCTATCGGGCCTATACTGTTGTAGGCTATTCCAGGGTACACCATACATCGATGGAGTCGCCCCTGCCGAACCCAGCAACATATCAATCATTTTATGATTATACAAAGCGACTTATAAATTCGTTTTTTTTCATGCAATTGAAGACGAAAAGTAAAGTCACGAACACAGTTTTTTCTTCCTTTTTTCTTTACAGCAAGATGATGTTTAGGTGATCATTAAATAAAGTACAGAATTGTTTATTATTGGTGTTTTGTCTATTCTGATTTGTTTTGCTTCGCATTCAAAATATCAAAAAACAGATTTTGTAATGTTAGCATGGTAATGTTAATTAGACCATTATAGGTTGAACTGAAAGAAAAATTGGAATTTGAATAAAAAAATATAAAAAACATTGTAGCAATATAATATCACATACTATTTTTCAGAAGATAGTTCAATCTGTAATTGTATCCCTTCCATCGCAATGAGGTTTTTTTTGGCACATGCATTAAGCAGGGAACGCAAATATTTATTGGATTATTTATTTGGAGACCGTAATATTGCATCTTATTGTTTTTAATTGCATTTGGATAAGCGTGCGCTGTACTCTGTGTGCGGGTGTTATACGATCTTTCGAACAGCAGGAGGCGCTGTGTTCGAAAAACGAGGGGTCTGAGAATGCGGGACTCTCGGTGGGGGACTGTAGATGCAGGCTCCGAGTCTGCAGCTTCATAATATTGCATTTATGAGAAAACGCTTCCCTGTGTTTTCACTGTTGTACGGTAGGGGGCGCTGATTTTTGCAGCTTTTTGCTAAAAATGTTGCTTTTTTTTATGAAACTCATACCCACATTCAAATGTTGATAAAAAATGAATGCATGAAGCTAGAATAAAAAGTTTTTGTTGTTTTTTAAGCAGAGGGTCTGTTCTTTCTTTTTGACATACTGCATGTTCAGATATTCTTACAACAAAATATTCTGGGGGCCATGAATATTTGGTGAAAATCATCAAAAAGCGGTGGCTGGCAACTTTTTTTTTTTAAATCGCTGGCGGGTAAATTGTTAAGCCGGAAGGAATTCGTAATGAGTTGCATCATCCGAAGCTAAACTACATGGATCTGGCTGGATTACATGCCTCTGGTATCTCTCAGGCTTCAGCTGCAGAGCTTGTTATCCACTCCATGCTGACAGAAGAATTTCAAACATTCCAGTTCTTCAGGCAGATGGACATGCATGGAGCCAGTGGAAAGTGAACCACCGTGGCCAAGCTGATGTTTGACAGAGAGACGATTTGCAGTCTTGCCGTCTTATTCACATCATAAAAATCCATGCGAGGGAGGGTTGTGTTTTTGAATGCCTCGCCTACAAAATCCGTTCACAGACATACACTACCCCACTGGCATTGAAAGGGAGGCTAGACTGATAAGTTCATGGGATTCACTTGTCTCTCAGTGCAGGAGGTAAAAAAAAAAAAAAACCTTTCTTAGCCACATCTTAGGATAAGAACAGCATTGACACTTTGGGCTGAACTCATAGAAACCCCTAATAAGAAGGGTGGTTTTTAGCCCATGTCCTGGACTCAACACACCTGATTCAGCTTATTGGTGAGACTGCAAGACCAGAGTGTGTGAGATAAGGACCAGGGCTGGGAAACACTGAGCCCCACAGAGAAACAGCCGACAAACATTTACAACCGCATAACAATGAACCTAGCAAGGTTTTCTTCATTTTTTAATAAAGTCATATTTTTTTATTATCTTCTGATGGATGAACCCTTACCAGCTCTTCAAACATCAGCAGATTGCATGTCCAGAAAAGCACCATGTTTTGTGGTCATTTACCATTTTTGAAGTACTTTGGAGCACCATGTAAAAGTCTTGAGTTGGCAATTATTTAGCACTATGGTATATTTCAAATGACCAAATATTTGCTTAATACACAGTTTGTGTAAGCTGAAGTGTTGGACTTAATGAGTTTTCCATGGTCTTCCGCAGGGCTAAGCTTCGTGGAGAGCCCTGGGAATGTGACTTCCTCTCTCGGGAAGGCAGTGAAGCTCCAGTGCGTCCTGCGAGCAGACGGGGTGGACCACGGAGCCCTGGACGTGGTCTGGCTGAGGGAGGGACAACCGCTGTACTTTGCTGAACTCAACCAGATGCAGGTCCCCGTAGATGAAAACAGCTGGCTGGTTATCAGTGAACTCAAGTAGGAATGCTGACTTTATCGTGCATATCTGTTTTATTGGGACATTTACAGTGCCAATCAAGTGAATTGTTGTTTCCTCTGTCCATGATTGGTGATGGCTCCATTACTTTTATAACTAGTGTTATTATTATATAGTAATATATATATAGTATGTATATAGTGTATATTATTGCATTAATGCCTGATAAAAGGACTGAATTACATTAAATCCTGAATTTTTGGACTGAAACGTGATAGTTACAGTACACAGAAAAAAAAAAATTTTTTTGCTCATTAGAAAAAGCAACTGGGGTATTATGCTATAAATTCTAAAAGTAATATATTACTTTACTTGCTACTTCTGAATATAATATCATTACACACAATTGCATTACCTGTAACCTCCAACACTGATAATACCCGCCCACATATATACTTGTTTAAAAAAAAAAAAAAGCTTTCTCTAAAGCTCATTGGTACAATAGCTCATGGTCCGATCCCCAATGAACACACATACTGATCAAACTGAAACCTGAAATTTACAATGAGAGAAGAGTGTTTGCTACATCAATACATCAAAATTTGACTATAATTGTCCGATTAAAAGCATCCACTTTCTGCTCACAGGATAGAGGAGGTAACGCTCTCGGATATGGGCTCCTATCAGTGTGCGGTCTACTTCGGTTCAGAGGTGACATTATCCATTGAGGGGCACATCCAAGTAGAAGGTATTATCTTTCTTTAGTGTATGTTACTTAAAATACGATGTTCTTTTTAAATTCACATAGGTTTTGTGATGGGAATATATGTGCAGAGAGGTGGAAACAAACTTTGGGAGCCTGGCCTGGGTTGAGACTAACAATAGACTGTACTGTTGGGAACTCCTCTATAGCATTATTGATTTTCAATCTCTCTTTTTTCTCCTTCAGGTCTCCCTCATTTCTCAGTGGAACCGCACCATTTGCAGGTAGTGGCTAATGTAGGGCTGAGTCTGCACTGTGAGGCTCACGGTCCTCCTGAACCTGTACGGGTCATCTGGCTACAGGACGGGGCTCAACTCAATAACCTGGAGGACCCCATATCCCTGTCGCCCTCAACGCTCCACCTCTCAGGTATTTACCTATCTTGACTCAACTGTATACTGTTATTTACAACTTTGCTTTCCTAACCATGAATTCCTTGTCGCTGTCTGGCGGAAACTTTGTGTTCCTATATCTCGTCTTTTTTTTCATAATCAATGCTTATTGATCACTCCTTGATGTCTGTCTGTGAGTTTTGCAAATATTTAACCAATGAAATGTTGGCAAAACCTCGAAGCTCCACCTCAGTTTTGAATGACGTGCCACAGACAGTTTGAGCAGTTTCTGCACCAACAATGCAAGGGTAAATATAGAACGGGTAAAGCAGTTTCTTTACACAAACACTATGCATATAAAGGCAAATTCTTCATGTATTCGAGGAGCCGAGAAGAGCGTCTTAGGCTAGCGTTTGCTGTCCAGTCATAGCCAGTATTGGGGAAAGTTACTTTTGAAAGTAATGCATTACAATATTGTGTTATTCCCTAAAAACTACTTTTTTTATGGAAAGTAATGCATTGCGTTACAATTGCGTTACTTTTTCTCGTCTGGGCTGGGCTTGCTTGTATGTTTTTAATGGCAAAAAAAAGGCTGAATGAAACGCAGATTCACACCTGTGCAGTAGAGGGCGCAGCTCAAACAAACCTTTAGTAGATTGTAGAAGAATATTACACTGGAAAAGGTCAACAATTATACTTCAGTAAAAATGTAATGTTTATCTAAAGCCATTTTTGCTTATTTATAAGGTTGAATTGGATCATCAAAGGACAGCTGTAGCGATATTGGTTAATAAAGTGAGATAACATATATTTGTGTAATTTAACATATTTAAAGGATTAGTTCACTTTTAAAAAAACTTTTGCTGATAATTTACTCACCCCCATGTCATCCAAGATGTCCATGTCTTTCTTTCTTCAGTCGAAAAGAAATGAATGTTTTTGATGAAAACATTCCAGGATTTTTCTCCATATAATGCACTTTGCTGGCCACCAAACGGTTCAAGGTCCAAAAGACAGTTTCAGTGCAGCTTCAGAGGGCTTTAAACGATACCAGACGATGAATAAGGGTCTTATCAAGCGAAACGATCGCTCATTTAAAAAATAAATAAAAAAGTTAAAGTTTTATAGGCACAAATGCTCGCCTTGCGAACTCTCCTGTTCGAACTCGTTCATCAAAATGAACGAATCTTTTTTCGAGTCATTAGTCATTGACTCGAAAAAAGATTCGCTTTGAAGCTGCACTGAAACGGTCATTTAAACCTTGAACCGTTTGGTGCCCAGCAAAGTGCATTATATGGAGAAAAATCCTGGAATGTTTTCATCAAAAACATTCATTTCTTTTCGACTGAAGAAAGAAAGACATGGACATCTTGGATGACATGGGGGTGAGTAAATTATCAGCAAAAGTTTTTTTAAAAGTGAACTAATCCTTTAATTATTGCAGGTTTGCGTCATATTCTGAGTTTGCATTTCACTGTTTTTATTCATTTTTGTGGAATACTGGGTCAGTTGCTGTGCAGTGAGATGAGTAAATGCTCACATTAATCTAGAACTACAATAAACATCATGTTTACACAAAACGCCTCTGCACTTACCCCTGATTTCTCTCAACATGGGGACAGGACAGTCAAAATATGGGAAAACAAAGTGACTTGAGTTGCTTATTTGAAAAAGTTTACAGATTTTTGTTATACAATTAAAAATAATGCGTTACTTTACTAGTTACTTGGAAAAAGTAATCTGATTACTTAACTCAAATTACTTGTAATGCGTTTCCCCAACACTGGTCGTAGCCGGTGCTGTCGTAAATAGACTTTGCGCTTCATGTTTTCTAACATGAGATTTTGGCATAGGCAGAGCTTGTGTAATGCTGGGGAAAGAGTTGCTTCACCCTTTGCCTATGGATTTTAGCCAAATGTATTCAAGGACAGAGATACTATACACATTGTAACCTGTAAGTTGATGAAAACACACTGCATAACACTTGCTATCTCAGATGTGGTCATACTAATGACGGACAAAACATGGACATTCAAGGTTTCCCTCGACAGCGCTGACATGTAACTCTTCACACTTCAATACTAAATAATGATGCGGTAACACCATACACTATAATTATTGGCTGCTACTATTAGTGGTGTTTCCCAGTGTTATAAACACTACCCTTGCGTAACAAAAATGTACTGTCAGGATTTACTAAAGACAAGCAGTAAAAAATGTGTGAAAAGGCGTGAACAGGGTTATTTTTGCAGCTGACGTTATTGCATATGCATTTGTAGGATTTCCCTTTCAGACATAATTTATGGGAGGACAGTATTTACATGAATCATTACTACGGTTTGTGCTCGTTAATGTACTGGTGTTTGGGCCATTATTTACCGCCCCAAACAAGCATGTCTTAAACCAGATGCTAACTGGTAGATTGTGTTGGTCATGATGGAAATGATCCGGCTGTGTCTGTGTTTTTAACATGCGTGTCGTCGGTAGATCACGAGAACTTTCCTCTCCCATCAGCGCTTTCTTGGAATTGCGCTCTCACGCTAATTTCCCCTGTTTAGTAAATCTGGCCCTAAGTATTAAACCTTGGTGTGTAACCCATCCCCTAGATGATGATGAACCCATAAAGATGATGAAACAGAGAAAAATGCCCTAGACTTGACGGAGAAACCCAAGCCAGATCTAGATGCCTGAGGCCTTTTGAATAAACTGCTTAGACTAATATTACAAGTTAGTCATCTATTTTGTTCTTTAAGACATTCTTTCTTTAAGACCAGTCTCGCACACACACCCACACACACACACACACACACACACACACACACTTTGTAGCAGGCGGCCTGTCTGGCTGTTTTCCAAATGGGAATCATCCTTTGAGATGCTGGCCTTTGCTAACTGGTGAAAGAGCAGCAGGAGATGAGAGGAAGGCCGGACAGGAAGAAAGAGTGGAGAGGAAAAAAGAGGAGGAGGAGGAGGAAGAAGAGGAGGAGGCCTTTGAAAACCTGCCACAGCACAGTGCCACATTCAGCCTGTGTTGTTGTTCCAGCTGTACTGAGCTGAAGAGAGAGAGAGAGAGAGAGAGAGAGAGAGAGAGAGAGAGAGAGAGAGAGAGAGAGAGAGAGAGAGAGAGAGAGAGAGAGAGAGAGAGAGAGGCTTTGACTCATCATGGATAACTGACCATTAGTTGTGCATTCACATCTTTGGAATGAAACACTTCTGCTTCCACACACACACACACGCACACACTGACTCACGCTCATTCAAGAATTTCATAAACTAAAATGGCGGTTCTTTCCGTCCATAACATTCCTTCTGTCAGTGCAACAGCACGATCCTCACAGAGAGAGCATTAAACACTTCGTAAAGCACTCAGTGCTGTTTGCTAAGGCGAGCAGCATTATTATTACCATATACTTATGGTCAGGGCTTTGATAAAGCAACATTATAAGTAGGCTATTACATTTTGGGGAGATGTGTGCTATTACATTTCCAGGCAATTAGGATTACAGATAACAGATAATAAAACAAGAAAAAAAAACTACAAATAAATCTGCTGATAGTCATACAAAACAGCAACGCCCACAATACTCTATCAACACGACCACATGTTTTGCAAAGGCACTCCAGTTTGTATTTGATTTCTTTGGCAGTAAAGTATAGCTGCATGCTTCTTAAATGTGTTCATTTTGTCTTTTGTAGTGGAAAGGTCATTTGTACTATAATGCAATGACCTTCTTCTAGTTTGGATGATATGGCAAAATCATGGTTATTAGTTGAGTAACTAAGTAAAATAAGTCTTGTTTTCCTTCAATCTGTGCTGACGAAAACAGATTGTGTTTTGGGGAAGGAAATAGAATGAGGTGAAACTGGATGTGTCTAGATCTCTCTCTCTCTCTCTCTCTCTCTCTCTCTCTCTCTCTCTCTCTCTCTCTCTCTGTCACACACACACACACACACACGCGCACACACACACACACACACACACACACACTACTCAGATCTTGTCCATCAGAATTTGATCTGGTGACCCTTGATATTGAACTTCGGTGGCCTTTCATCAATGGACACATAGTTTTCCTGAAGGACACACATAAGCGTTATTTTCCCTGAAAGTGTGAAGAATGCGGTGTGTGAGAAAGAGAGCCTTCATTTGACATGTTTCTGTGAATGTCAGCATGTGCAGTGTGTGTGTGTGTGTGTGTGTGTGTATATGCGCTCTCCTCTCCCTCTGTGTTTTCCTTAAAGCAGAAGTAGCTCTTTTCAAATCAGCTCTTTATAATTTCCCAAATGAATACGTTTTTAACCTACAAACACATTCTGAAACTCAACCACAACCACAACCCTTTAGTTGGTTAACACTTCAGAAAATCTGTTGACTAAAGTAATGTTGCAACTACATGTCAAATAACTCTAATTAGTATTATTAGAGTATTAGTAAACTGCTGAATATCTGCTAACTGTTTACTGTGATGCTCCCCAACAGACATTATACTGACTATATTTAACTTTGCAACTTATTCTACTAACCCAAACCTAACAGTCTACTAATACTCTACTGAAAGATAGTTGTTGACATGTAGGTACAACATTACTTATAACAGAAAATGAAGTGTAACCCAACTTTGCAGATTTTTTTTCTCAACCATGTTGTTTCACTCCTCGACAGGTCTGAATAAAACCAGCTCTTTCTCCTGTGAGGCGCACAATCGGAAAGGTGTGGCGTCGTCTGGCACGGGCACTGTGACGGGTAAGTGCATGGGACGTCCTGAAGTGAGGGTGCTTTTATGTGCTGCCCTGTGTTTAGACAATGTGGAAGACAGCTCATGGCTCTCTCACCGCATGAGAGTCGTGAGTCACAATTGATTCCAGTAATATTTATTACTGCAATAAGCTAAAACATACATAGTTCGCACAAATACAAAGTACATTTCATTTATAAGGTGATGTGCAGTTGAGGACGAGTTGAAAGAGAGGGACAATGTAATTATTTGCGATACGTCTCCGTCTACCGGTATGTAAAGTTATGCAGAATTGTGATGCATGACGATACGTGATGTGAAAGTCACAGGAATCCCGATATGACTGTTCAGACGGAGGCTGCGTTGCAAAACATCAGACCTGTGTCTGAGCAAATCAGAATCGAGAAGATCAGATTGCTTGTGGTTTGTTATGAAAAAGTTGATCTGAGTCACACATGAGCAAAAACTGCATATTTTGCCTGCAATGTCTGAATGTAGACATGTTTTAATTATATCTATTTTTGATCTTTCCGTCTAGTCCTTCCTGCCCAGCCCCATGACATTAAAGCTGAAGACATCACTAATTCAAGCATCCGTCTGTCTTGGCACATGGGCTTTGGAGGAATCTATCCCATCAGCCTCTGCATTGTTCAGGTACCTTCAAAAGCTTTCTTTCAATAGATGGATAATAGAATGAGTGAGTGTGTGTTTGTTTCAAACTGTTGTGTCGTTTGACTTTGACAAGCCTCTGATGCATCGGTTTTGTTCCACAAATGTGAGTCAGAACCCTTGTACCCACATACACACACTGCTTAATCACGCTGTAGACTAGAGGATCACATTTCACACTCTAAAAGAGGCCCCGTACGACTCACTTTTGAGGCCCAGTTCCCCCTATGTTCTGGGGCCCTGGTAGGACGTGTGTGTGTGTGTGTGTGTGTCATACACTCCCCTTGGCTTGAGCACCACCCCAAAGTGCCTGGTTCTAATAAAAAAGGCTCTTGTGTCTGAGCCTTCGCCCCTCCTCTAGTTCCCCAGATCTACAGAACCGAGCGCTCCAAACTGAGACAAAGCACACTAACCTGAGGAAACTGAAGGATAATAAAAAAGAAATGAGGAACAATGGAAAAGCCAGAAAAGTTTAGCAAAGCTCAACTGACGCAATACAGATGTATTTATTTATTTATGAACATGTCCATATCCAGTACCAGTGTAGTAAATGAAGTAATTCAGTGCTTAACTAATATGTCTGATGTTACCAGTAATAAGAGGCCTAGATTATTTTTCAATATATCTAGTCAGAAAAAGAGTGCAAGCATATTCCTCTAAAATAATTCTGTGTTTTCAGCCTTAGAATCATGAATAATTTAGTCACTATAATTGTGCTGTGCATTGGGTTTCCAGCACCAAGTCCAAGCCTATTCATTTAATACCAAATTTAGCATTTTAATCAACAGTACATTTTTTGTTAACCTTTTACAGTATCATATGTCTTGGAGTATCGCAATAATATCGTATCGTGAGTTCAGTGTCGTGATATGTTTGGAATCGTGACATGAGGGTATCCTTACACCCCTATTAACTAAACATACTTTTGCCATATAATATTAAAAAGACAAACAAGAAGGTGCATGATAATACATCTGGCCACAGTACAATTATTGTAATTCCTAAAGCTCAATCAATAGAGGAAACAATTTATGTCCCTCTGTGAACCTTTCCAATCAAATGAACACATTTAAGAAACATGCATCTAAGCATATAGAGATATCAATCAGCTCAAATGCAGAAATATATCCGGTCAGTGTAAATGATGGCTTGGACAGAGTTAATGTAACCCACAGTAGGGGAGTTCACCAGCTGTGTGAGTCAGTCACCAGCAGTGCTCTTTATTGACTCGCTCTGAATCACTGAGTCGTGACTCACGTGTGACTCCTCACTCCAAAATGAAGCCCATCAAGATGATCTGGAAGAACAGCCTCTGCTTTGATCTCGGAGTGTTATGACACATCTTCTCTTTCGTACCGCAGCACTGATCCAATCACGAGTCGGCTCTTTCATTCACCCCGTCACAATACATTACAATAGACTTTACACACATTATAAAGCATGATTTCTCATGTTGTTAAGCTTATGTTCTTCTGGTTGTATCACTCTTTGGTAGCCACACGTTTGAAGCTTGTTTTCATGTGAGATTTTTAAAAATAGAAACAAGGAGACACATGTCATGTATACATGCATTTTTAGATTTATAAATTGATATTTGTATGTGTGTGTGTGTGTGTGTGTGTGTGTGTGTGCGTGCGTGCGTGCGTGTGTCCGTGGGTGACATATTTAATCACAATATGCATAGTTAAAAATATTAATTATACGGTATAATTATCAACAATTCTAATAATTAAGATTTTTTTAACTGTGAAAATATTTTCATGCTAATTAGGCACATTTTATCAAAATTAGCTTACTGTAAAAAAACAATAATGGTGCGCTGCAATACAATAATGAACAAACTACTCTGACAATTATACATCATTTGCTTTTCACTTTACATGAATGAGAATTGGGAAGCAAGATTTGCTTATGTCTCCCGAATGATGTGCAAATAACCTTGATATAATTTTCTTTGTGCAAAATATTATGCAACATATAATCATTTTTCTATGCAACATATATAAACATTTATTTATTTTTAAAATGTCTTCTCTTGACAGTTACTTGAGATTCACAGTAATATGAATCATTATTTCATATTCATATTGTGTTGTTTTATGTTGTGTTTCTGGCTTGACCTTGCATGCAAGCTGAATTCTATGGAATTCTTGTAATCATTTTTAGTCATGCCAACAAAGCTTGTGTTCCCTTATAAAGCCCCCGCTTTGTTTCTTCCCTGTGATTCCCACAGCCGAGAGTGATTTGAGGCAGTGTAACTCTAGGTAGGTGGTGGGTTACGCGGGAAGTTTGATGTTTGGAGGCTTTGCATCGGCAGCATGTTCCTCCTGCTGAGTCAGGTGTTTTCATGTGTCCTGCTGTGTAGTGTGTCTCCAGCTGGAGGAGACTTTATTGAAGATATGTGTGTGTGATCACTAGGAGTGTGCCAAGGCCCGCTCAGGAAGATGTGTGTGTGTGTGTGTGTGTATGATCACTAGGAGTGTGCCAAGGCCCGCTCAGGAAGATGTGTGCATGATTATGTGTAATGTTAAAGGGGTCCTGTTATGTCTTGATTACGTTTTTGGGGTGTACTAGAATATGTTTTAATGCTTGATTGTTCAAAAAATGCATTATTTTTCAAATATTTTACATTATATACACTCACCTAAAAGATTATTAGGAACACAATACTAATACTGTGTTTGACCCCCTTTCGCCTTCAGAACTGCCTTAATTCTACGTGGCATTGATTCAACAAGGTGCTGAAAACATTCTTTAGAAATGTTGGCCCATATTGATAGGATAGCGTCTTGCAGTTGATGGAGATTTGTGGGATGCACATCCAGGGCACGAAGCTCCCGTTCCACCACATCCCAAAGATGCTCTATTGGGTTGAGATCTGGTGACTGTGGGGGCCATTTTAGTACAGTGAACTCATTGTCATGTTCAAGAAACCAATTTGAAATGATTCGAGCTTTGTGACATGGTGCATTATCCTGCTGGAAGTAGCCATCAGAGGATGGGTACATGGTGGCCATAAAGGGATGGACATGGTCAGAAACAATGCTCAGGTAGGCCGTGGCATTTAAACGATGCCCAATTGGCACTAAGGGGCCAAAAGTGTGCCAAGAAAACATCCCCCACACCATTACACCACCACCACCAGCCTGCACAGTGGTAACAAGGCATGATGGATCCATGTTCTCATTCTGTTTACGCCAAATTCTGACTCTACCATCTGAATGTCTCAACAGAAATCGAGACTCATCAGACCAGGCAACATTTTTCCAGTCTTCAACTGTCCAATTTTGGTGAGCTCTTGCAAATTGTAGCCTCTTTTTCCTATTTGTAGTGGAGATGAGTGGTACCCGGTGGGGTCTTCTGTTGTTGTAGCCCATCCGCCTCAAGGTTGTGCGTGTTGTGGCTTCACAAATGCTTTGCTGCACACCTCGGTTGTAACGAGTGGTTATTTCAGTCAAAGTTGCTCTTCTGTCAGCTTGAATCAGTCGGCCCATTCTCCTCTGACCTCTAGCATCAACAAGGCATTTTCGCCCACAGGACTGCCGCATTCTGGATGTTTTTTCCTTTTCACACCATTCTTTGTAAACCCTAGAAATGGTTGTGCGTGAAAATCCCAGTAACTGAGCAGATTGTGAAATACTCAGTCTGTCACCAACAACCATGCCACGCTCAAAATTGCTTAAATCACCTTTCTTTCCCATTCTGACATTCAGTTTGGAGTTCAGGAGATTGTCTTGACCAGGACCACACCCCTAAATGCATTGAAGCAACTGCCATGTGATTGGTTGATTAGATAACTGCATTAATGAGAAATTGAACAGGTGTTCCTAATAATCCTTTAGGTGAGTATATATATATATATATATATATATATATATATATATAAAAAGCTTGTATATAAAGCACACATTAAAGCTTAGAAGCCGATCGTTGGCTTGGCGTGTCCCAGGCTTAACACAACTGTGTTATTCTTTCCGCGGAAGATACAGCAACATAAAATCAAAACAAATAAATGTATGTTACATATGTGTACCAACAAGGAATGTGACATAATTGCAGGAACCTGGGAAAAGGAGAAGTGATAGAGGTCGCTTCTTCTTTGCCCTAAACAGAAAGTGAATGTCACACGTTTCCCTCAAGTAATTTGTGGCTGTTCCCTATGTGTGTCCACACACCAATGTGGAAAAAGTTACTAAAAGTTAATTTTCAATAATTTTCCATAGTCGCAGGATGTCCATTCAGCATACTAACTACGTGAGAGTGAGATTCAGCATACCAGCATACATACTAATCTCATTGAGTGAGGTTTGTTAAGTAAATCAAACGGATTTTCACGCCTTTAATATGTTGCATATTCGCGATTTGCGAAAAACGAAAGTGTTTGATCATTAAATTTTTTTTTTTTTTTTTTTTACAAACAAACATTTATTGCATTTTGGTGTTGGGCAAAGTTTTTATGTGTTTAATAAAAAAATTTCAAGTGTTATAGATGGCCCTAGGAAATGATAAGAAACCACTAAAATCCAATACCTTTCAGGTTAAAGCGTCTGGTGAAGACTCTGATCAGCTGATCTACAACCAGAGGGTCAGCGCACCAGACACCAGCCGTCTGATCTCAGATCTGGAAGCGTTCAGCCAATATGATTTCAGGATGGCCTGCCAGAGCAGTCAGGGTGTCTCTAACTGGACGGCATGGGTTCCCATCAGCACCAGCGAAGGAGGTAAGCACGTTTGAGAGGAAGAACAAGTTCAGATGGTGACAGTGTTACAGTGCAGTCTTCTGCTGGAGTCAGTAGAGCTGAAGTGTGTTTACAGTAGCTAGATGTGTGAGGTCTGTGTCCGCTAAACACTGAACGCTGTTTGACATGGAAACTGTCAGGACGGAGAGAGACAGACATGACTGAAGAGGTGTATGTGCTAATGTATTAGGGATGTGCCCAGAGTGCTTGGAATCCATCAGGAAAACACATAGGAATGACTAAAATGCCATTCCCTAATGTGCACTTGGTCTGTGGATGTGCACTGTGAGGTTCCTCTCCAGGTTTGGATGTGTGTTTTCTGCCCTGGCTCTGGCTGTCTGTCAGCTGTAACTGTACTTGAGCTGTAGTAAGTTTTTCCATACCAGATTACAGTTGAAGGAGTGTTTGTAGAAGAGAGAGCGAGGTGGGCATCTGGATGATGGGTACTTTCCATAAATCGGCATTAAGAAATGTGTCTTTAAAACAAACGACTGTGAGTGCAGCTGTAATACACACAGACAGAAAGAAATGGAGACATCGGGCCTTATTTATAAAATGCTGCATAGAAACCATCCTACATTTGATCTTACGATCATTTCTCAAATGTGCGTTCGTGTGATTCGGAGAACGAACGTACGCACAAAAAACACGCATACACCTGTCTTCCCGATGTGAAATCTATAATTTGCAAATGATTTATAAAAATTGTGCGCAGCTGAATGGTTTCAGATTGCCTAATTAATGTCATTAACATATAAAACAGCACCAGTCAACGTCCAAACGCTTTACTTGAGAACGGCGACAATTGTTTAGATTTCCAAATAGCAAGTAAGTCTGCCTAGACCCTGACACGGCACTAAGCCCTTTTCCACGTCAAACACTGATTTATAAATGATGAGCGATGGCATGGATCTGAGTTCAAATCTGTGCATACGCACGCTTTATAAATGAGGCGAGTTAATGCAAGCACAAGAATCATTTCCATTCATTTATTCATTTCGTTTTGACTCCTTTATTTAAAAGGGATGTGAGTCATTTTTTTTGTGTTAGAATACTTTTTCATATCCCAGCTTAAAACGAAGAGACAACAATAAATAGCCATTCGTAGGTTGATTCTTTCATAAAATGTAAACAGCAGCACTTTTTAGCACTACCACAACATTGATCTGTTTGTTTGATCACTCCACCCAGCCCATCACAGCAACACCAGCTCAATGGACCTATCGGTTGGCCTGACCAATTATGACGTTTGAAAACAGTCATAATTCTTGCAGTATCATTTGGTGACATTTGGTGGATACATTTGAGAGCTATGAAATGAATGTGGAGAGAATGTGGAATGAATTAACTCGCGATTAATCTCAATTAATCGCACATTTTTATCTATTCTAAATGTCTCTTGATTTCTTTTTGTCCCATTATTTTTTCTACTTTTAATGCTCTTATCAACATGAAAAAGTGGATCGACTTGCTTTGTGCAAATGTTTTTATTGAAAACAACATTGACAATACGGTGTTCAATTTCACACTAACATTCTCACTTGGAGCAAATAATCTCTCACACAATGTAACACTGTCCATCAATAAAAGGGTGAAAGAAACACTGACGAGGTCCTGATATTGACGAGGGGGCGGAGAATTCGCATCAGCTGTGTGTGTGTGTGTGTGTGTGTGTGTGTGTGTGTGTGTGTGTGTGTGTGTGTGTGTGTGTGTGCTTGGCCATCAAGTGGTATTTCAGACTGGACGTGCTGCGATGATGATAGCTCAGTTCACAACGACAAAACACACAGATCACTTTGGTCTCGTCAATGGAACCATTTGGTAACTTTTTAAAAGTAAACTTTCCATTCAGAATCTTATTGGCATCCATTTCGGCGTCTCGCGCTCGTCATCCACTCAAAACGTAACGTTAACCTACTATTTGGCCGACTCGCAACTAGTGTGTTTCCGGTCTAGCTAGATCCAGTGCTTTCAGACAGGACGCGGAATGTGCGGCGCTACACCAGTTTTCAAAACTTTTTGGATGCCAAAAAGTTTCTATTGGCCACGCTGGTAATCGCCACAGCGGCAAAAGTTGAACTATTTTGAATTTTGACCGCGGTGCGCGCTGCTCTTGCGCTTTGGTCGACGAAGCAACAAAACGTGGATGCCGCGTCCTGTTAGCAAAAGCATGTGAAAAAAAACTACAAAGTTTGCTAGGCCAAAAAGACCATTAATCTCGCAATAAAAAAATTAATCGCGTTAAAATGGGTTTGCGTTAACGCCATTAATAATGCGTTTAACTCGTGGGCGTAGGTTTGGTCTCAGCTTTGGTGGGGACACCCCCATCCCTCCCCCATCCCCCCGGGAATTATTTTGTTGTAAGATAACAGTCCTTTAACGGCGATTTCCTTTGTCATTTCAGACTGCTGGCAATACAGAATATCACAATACAGAAGTGAATCTACTTCATCTCATTATATTGTATCCTGACCCCGATACACCATCCTGTATACTGTCAATAAAGAGCTAGTATAACTGTATAATCTCAAAAATGCACTCTCAAAAGATAAAAACCTGAGACTGTGTAATGCTGAACAACCAAACATTTTATTTAACATAAATTATTATGTACATTAGTATTTACACTAACAAAAAATACTGTCAGCTGTCAGCAAAACAAATCTAAATAAATAAATATAATAACCTTTTTCTATTATAAACACTTTTTACCCTCCAGTACCTCTAACAAATACTCACACTCACGTTTATGTATCTGATCTAGAAAGTACAAAAAGGGGCATAAAAATGGAATATTAAAATGTTTTACTCTGGCCTTTGTATATGGCAGGCAGAGAGACAGCCCTGGTAACTTACCGTCGGCGTCGTCACGCGCGCACACACACACACGCACACACCACCCGCTCGCTGCCAGTGAGTGCAAGCACAAAAAGTAGTCCCGGCCCGCGCGTGTAGCCTGCCTGTCAGATACCCCGCCGCCAATCAAATTACGGCGTATCTTGTACTGTCGTCGTCCTGGCCGTTGGAATTGATCCAAATAGCAGCACAAAGATCCAAATGCAGCGCAAATATCAAAATAGCAGTTCAAAGGAGCTTGCTAAATATTGGTGGGGACAAATTTGTCATCTCAAAATATTGATTGGGACTAGTACCTAGCGTCCCCCCCTAAACCTACGCCCTTGGTTTAACTGACAGCCCTGCTATATTTATATATACAGCCGACTCGCCTCCATTCCTCGACAGTCATTTCTGCATAAGTGTGTATGTGCATAAGTTCTGTAAGTGTGAACTCGTGAAATCAGAGTTGACTGTGTGTTTCCTAATACACATCAAAGTTTAGTTGTGCATAGTAAAATGCATCCTTTCCAATGTTTTCACACATTTGTGTGCTGTTGTACTGGAAATCAGTTCATAGGAACGAGGCTGCAGTTAATCATAACCGTGATTACACGTCAACTTACAGTTCACCCAACATCTGTCCACTTTGTATACTTGTTCTGTAGCAATGAACATATTTCCAAAAGAAGTCGAAGCGTCAAGCTTGTGAGTGGAGCGACAGCACTTGTCCATCACTGCTCTATAATCACTCCGCTCCAACTCCACTCCGGGTTTTCCAGTACTTGCTCCAACACACAGTGTACTCTTGGCTCCGCGTCCACTCACATCTGGTCTAGAACACCGTGCACAAGTAGTGTGACACAAACACTGACACATACTATACATTATATGGATGTAAAATGGGTTTGTAATGCCATCTCATGTTGGTCTTAATTATGTCTTCTGCTTAACCATATTTACTTTTATTCGACTTTTCAATCTCCAGTGTATAATTCACGTCAGCGCTGTGTCAGTATGTGGGACTGGCGAGAGACAGGAATGATGGAGGAGAGAAGGAAATGTTTCATTTTTTCCAGGAGAGGGTTTTGGTCGTGGATGGCTGTACTGGGGTGTGTGTGTTTATATGCATGTGTGTAGGTGTGGTGTTGTTTTTGGTTATTAGTGTGTTTAGGGTGGCGGACTCGAAGCACCTCTTCGCTTTTAAATGCCTTTTTGTTCTGCTTTTCTCAATCTTTCTCCCCACAAGAAA